ATTTGCATGCAATGCCTACTCTCCAAGCACCACAAGTTTCCGCGTAAGCGGTGCCTGTCCTTGGTGCTGAACTCGCCATCCACACAATGTTAAACACTCGGTATGGTGAAAACAACACGCGTGCTCTCCTTTTAGAGCGTTTAGTTACTTGCTCGACGCTTGAATATATCAACCACATATTTATAATGGCTTGTATTGGTACATATTTTATCATTAATTTTTTTCTCCATAATTTGCATTTTTCTTGATCTGTGCAACTTAGGCCATGTTGATTTGATTATATGGATGACATCCTCCGGGAACCCCAAAATTGATGCGCGCGTGCGAATAAAAAAAAAGTTTTGCAAAAAAAAAGTTAGTTTTCTATTATGAAATCTACGTGGTCATGAGGGTTGAACAAATGGGACGGAATATGGTTTGGCGAATAATCTAGTCTTCAAGTTCATTTCTTTACAATTTCGTCTTTTTTCGTTTGATTTTGTCATTCTACAACATTGGTATGTTTTTTTTTTTGCAACTTACGATATATTTTTGCTCATTTTGCAACTGTTTTGTACGATTTACAGTATGGATGAAAACTTTTTTATTTTTTTGAAACGGCCGAAAATTCATGCGCGCGCGGATGTCATCCATATAATCAAATCAACATGGCCTAACTACCATGGACTACCCCGGCACAGAGCCTTGGAGAACGTGTGCATCGAGCCCTGTGCATCGATCATTAAATCATATCGTGTTACCCTGTGCACCGATCATGGCCTCATTTGCATAATTTATGAAGAAATGCTAAAATAGCTATCTTTCTTTAGATAAGACTCATTGGGTGGAGAATACGATCAACTGATACAATTTATGCAAACGAGTATCACATTTCCATGCATGTGACCATGCAATTACAATTCGTCAGTCCTGAATATATGTCAACATGATCTGGCGAAGTTCGTCGAGCTCTAGTTTCCTGGGTTTACCGTGATATTTTTTCTTATGACGGACTAGCGTCTCCCATATAACAACGGAAAACATTCCTATGAATATAAACGTCAGACCAAAACCATCCAAGATAGCCGGAGCAAATCCGAGGATTGCCCACTGCAGGCCGAATGCCGGAAATGCATTGATCTGCAGCAGGGCAGTTGCAGCATTGACCTCAACCAGCTTCAGGCCAGCGTACATGAGAGCAACTCCCGAGCAGCGACTTACACAGCCTGCAAACAAAACTGCGGCGGTCGCTGGCTCAAGGAACCATGTTTGACTGGTACAAATCGCTAGTACCCCTGACAAAACGATGTCTATACCGCACGTGTAGCTCAGAATCATCGTTCTGGTGGTGCCGGACTCCAGTAGGCCCTTGATGTTCACTCTCAGCATGGCGGCAAGGAGCGCTGCTATGATGGCCAGCATCACTGCAGTTCCCACCGAAGCATCGTCGTCTGAGTCGGCCGCCGATGGGACCCTGTTGGTGACGCCGCTGTAACCAACAAGTGCAACCCCCGCTATGCACCACAGGCCCCCAAACATGGTGGCAGGCGTTGGGATCTGAAATCATAACAAAGGAACGACACTCGTCAAAAAACAGATCCTCAAGCAAACGCATATGATTTTGGGAAATCGTATCATGGATTTTCCAAAATCATATCCAGTTTGAGTAACTTTTTTTGGAGTATCTTATTACTTGTATGTCTAATATTTACCGACGTAGAGGAACAACATTCACTGCACAAATTCGAAATCTTATGTAGCCGTACCTTATAAGGATGCGTAAAGGTACACATGCGTGAAGAAACATAACCTTTGCGTATGCTTTAAGGCATTGGTATTTTTCCAGTGATTTTTACACCACTGCAAAGATAGAAAATTTCAATAATTTGCGAATTTTAAATGAAGTCCACAATAGTTTATTCATTCATTTCGGAAGAGATGAGACGCGATGGATGTATGTTTGCCTGACATTGGTCTGCTTTTAATGCAAATTAGCGACTTGCCTCCTGGAGAAAAAGGTAGGAAAGAGCCGCAACGAAGACGATTGTGGAGGGGTCCATGACGGCATCCGCCTTGGCCGGAGGAGCGTACCGATAGGCGGCGAACTGGCAGAGGATTCCGAGGAAGCGACCCACTCCTTGGAAGACCAAGCGGAAGAACTGACTGTAGCTAGTCGGGATGAGGCTCGTCTTGTGGCAGGCGGCGACGCACAGGACGACCAACACGAGCAGCAGGTCGCTGAAGAAGTTGAGCTGGTACGCCGTGTAGCCCCTGTCTTCCACGTACCGTAACGTTGCCGGCACCAACCCGGCGAAAATCCCGGACGCCAGGCAGGCGGCCACACCCAAATGATTCTGAGGAAAAATACAGGCGATATTAGATCAGTATGAGACATTGTATGGCTTCTTGTGTTCGTTTGTTTGTTTGTTTGTTTGTTTGTTTTTTGGCTACAGGCTTTGAAATATAAGTTCTTCGAAGCTATAACTCACGGACTTAAGTTCATATGAACATATTATGTGAAAAAATACGAAGTTTAGTGAAAAAACTGATTACAATAGAGGTAATTATATGGTCCGCATCTTGGATGTTTGTCAATGACGTCATTAAATTAGAATAAATTCTGAATATTTAATAATAGAAATTAGATATAATTCTATAAGATTGTATCAATGTTTGAAAAAGACGTGTAATTAAACATAAGAACCTGAAAATTTTCATGTTTAAACCAAATAAAATTACTGAATTTTCCAAAAACCGTCAGAAACCCATTGCCTTGGCATCACGAAAATCTATTAACTTATCTCATACATATGAAGAAGAAGAAAGAAAGGTCTCCCATGCCCTTATGCAGAGCGTAGGGTGGTGCCCATATCCATTTCTGTAGCCCTTGGGCGGCACACATGTTGTGCAATGCACTACAGCAGGGGGCTAGTCCGCTGGTAGTGCTGTGTGTGTTTGACCTTCCCACACTCTTTCTCATACATATGGGGTACAACTAAACAAGGTTAAACCAAGACAAGCGAATGAACTCTTTTAAGTCCGTATCCTTTGGACATGATTTATCGAAACATAAGTCAAGCTACGAGCTTACCTTTCGCCAGAGGCGCCCACCGAAGTCCTTCATGATCAGTTCCGTATCTTCAGAAGTTTGATCTTCATCTTGAACAAGGTTGTCCAATTTTTTGGAGTTATCGCTGTCACAACTCTGTGTCATTGTTGGTCGTTTTGCAGCTCCTCTGTGTAAAAACGACATCTTATCTCATTTGTGAATTCACGTATTGGTTCAAGACAATACAAACACCCCACCCGATAAGGCCATGTTGATTTGGTTGTATGGATGACATCCTCTGGAAACCCCAAAACTGATGCGAGCGTGCGAATAAAAAATGTTTGGCAAAAAAAAAAAGGTTGTATTCATTATGAAATCTGCGTGGTCATGAAGGTTGAACAAATGACTAAACACACGGTGTATGGTGTAATGAATGATAGACACTTCATTTCCATTTTTCACATTTATTTCTACAGCTTTTCCTTTGGAATTCATTTTGGCATTTTACGACATTGTTTTGCAATATTTTTTTTAATTTACGGCATACATTTGCTCAATTTGCAGCTTCTTTGTACTATTTACAGTATGGTAGAAAACTTTTTTTGAAACGGTTGAAACTTAATGCGCGCGGACGTCATCCATATAATCAAATCAACATGACCTACCTTTGGACCATATGCATTGGTCATTATATGCACAAATAACAGTTAGCTTTACATGCGTTTTAAACCAAATGCATCGACAACGAAGCTGTCAATTAAAAAAGGTAATCATCCCTAAAATTATTTGCAATCTGGACACAATACATTTCAAAGGGCCCTGTGCCTGAGGCGTCGGCAAAAATTAGACTCTTGTCTTCACGGCTCATAGAAGGTGTTGCAATACCATTCTTTATCCTAGTATCCGCAGGCTATCGCGGTTGGGACGGGTTCTCTTCGGGGCCGCAGAAGCTCTTTCCCGCCTAATCTCCAAGCAGATCATACGATGGCAAGGCACTACATTAGCCACCGAAAATCTGTCGAAAACTTGAATGGCCAATGAATACTGCCTGGCCAATTCGATACTGTCTCTTGCAGCCACCGAAAGATCTGCTTGGAGATTATTCCCCGCCCAACTCAGCTAGGTTCCCCGGTAGTTAAATTAGCGATTTCGCTGTTGGGCTAATCAACTCCAAGCGTACAAAACTCTATCACAGGCATAGTACGTACTCCCATGGAGTCAAAATCAAGAAGGCCTTCTTGATTTTAACTCCAAGGTACTCCCACCGGACGGCCAGTCAAACTGGGCGGGGAAAAACTAATAGAGCCCCGGGCTTCGAAGAGAGCTCGGCCCCAACCACGAAGAACCCCGTTTTTGGGCTTGGTGTACTACCGTGTGGGATTTCATGTGAATTCGGAGGAGAAACGTCAAGAATTGTGCGACCACAAGTAGTAAAAACACGTGAAACGGAGAATCTTGGGGGAAATGTGAATCATGGAATGGAAAGGGGACGCCATGGACGCTATTAACACACTGTAATTTTGGTATCTTTATAAATGTGTCCTTGGCCTATCTGCTTACTGTCCATTAAACTGTGTAAGGATACTATATAATACAATGTCCTATTTTATCTGTACTCTGTCGGGCACCTTTTTTGCCCATGAAAAATCACACAAGCTCCAGTTTTCAGGTAATAATTGCACAATTCTTGATTGTCCACGATTTCACATTTATTTTCGACAAATGTGACAATAACATTTTTTCACAGTGTGTACTGTAGTCACATTGGATTACTTCATATCATTTTCAGTCCTAGCATCAAATTCACATAAATGTCACATATATATACTAGTAGTACACATGTTAGGCCCTATTTACCGAGGGTTGTCGAGAGAGCACACTGGGAAATGTACTAGCAGGAACGCCGGCAGAAAGGAACATTATTGAGTTAGATATGTAGGATCTAGATGATGCGTCGGATCCTATCTTACCTGTTTCAAAAACAGTAAAAAGACGTACCTGTAGACCGGTTGTAAAAAGAAGTGCCTCGTCCAAAAATGTTCAACTCTCTTCTGAAGGGAACAAACAAAAGAGGGGCAATCTAATTACTAACTACTATATAAAAGATGTGGATACACCGGTTTTTTTCACCTGTTTACAACTTCTGTAACCATTAGACCACAGCAAGTAAATTTTATGGATGACATCAGCGCGCGCATTGATTTTCAACATGCTGGAAATGGGCAAAGATGTCTGTTGCCATGCCGGAACATGGATTGCAGATAAATAAGAAGAGAGGAGACACGACAAGGCTCTGATTTCATTTTGTCTTTTACTTTGATGCATTGATGTATTTCATTCCTTTTACTAGAATATGTGATGGTGGCTGTGGATGCTCCCACTGTTTCGGCGTGAAATTGATGTTGTAATAGTTGACAGTAAAGTTACCACAATATAGGTATCATTTCTTCAAGGTTTATGATGTTAAAATTTCAAAGTGTAGGAATCTTGTTTTCCTTTGCCTGGCCTTGATTTTTTTCACCCTATCAAGTCTGCGGTAGATGTCATCCATAAAATTTACTTGCCGTGGCCTTTAATATGCAAATACTGATACTCAAACTGGTTCGCAAACCTGTATACCCTTGCCAACAGCATATGGTAGCATAAAATTGACTGATAGTCGTACGAAATATCTTTATGTTATGCCCCTGAAAGAAAAGACTATTTCCATGCGGCAAAATGAGCGATTCCAAAAGACTGCCGCCCCAAGTCCCGTGTAAAAGCTACATCCAGATGAAAGTTTCAGGTTACTTGTCCAAATAAAAAGAATGTTGATTAACAAGAAACCAGAGATTCCAACCGCCCCCCGGCAAGTGACGCATGGTGATCAATCACAACGACTACTGAAACTGTCAGATATGACATTAACAGCAATGTGAAAGCGATATTATGTAAGATTTTCACTGTTTTAAACATCGTTGTTTTCCTTCCGCTATAAGCCTACCTGGGCTCATAATGACATTTGGGGAGTAAAAGATCGACGTCTTTGCGCCGCAAAAACGTGTTGGAAAACTACCAACACCTTGGGGCCTGCGCGGATTGTGGCCATGTTGTTTGTTTACATTCTATTTATAGCCTCCTAAAATACGGCAGGCCTGGCGCAACTTCTCACGCTGTGCTAGAAAAGCAAAATAGCAATGCTAAAACGTTACTGTAAACCGAGTGCTGAGACAACGTTCAGCACTGGAACACCAGTGGTGAGGGCGCCTCAGCACTGGGGAAAAGGCCGTTCAGCACTGGAACACCAGTGCTCGGCTCTCGTCGGCACTGGACGTCCAGTGCTGACGCCGTTTTGTCCATTAAATCAGCACTGGAACACCAGTGAGGAAGGCGTGGCTTTCGTAGACTTGCTGTACCAGGAACGAAATTATCATTTTAGTCACGTCCTTATGGTAGCCACACAAATTGTCCTACAGAACGTTGACCTGGAATCTTACGTCGTCCGTCTTCTGGACCTGCGGTTGGGCGAAAAGATGCTGACAGAACGAAACACGGATTTTTCCAGGCTTCCGTTGGATGTTTGGTCAGCATTGCATCAGAATTCTGCCTGTTGCAGATGACATCTTTTCCAACACAGCATTTGAAAACTATAGACGGGAACATGACCTAAAACGAACCGTTTTGCCAAAGTGCTATGCCCAATATAGATAGCCGAGCTTCGCGCAGGCCTTTCGTTCTGCCGACGAACTCGTTGGGCCATAGCTCTAGCTCACCAGAGCGCTGACGTGTCCATCAGAACTTGTCCGTCTTCTGGTACCAACCCAAAAAGTAAACGGCTGTATGAAAGTGTGTTTATGTTGGTGAGAAATTTCTTTCCTAGCCAGCCCGACGGATGTGAAACGTCAAAGTAGTGACTGTAACTGTTTGTAACTGAGGAAATTAGGGCGTAATTGTTGGGAGCCGCGCGGTCGGATGTGGACAGTCCTGTGTTTTGAGTAGTACGGATAGTTTGCAGCGCGAAAAGTGGGGCCTCTTGCGGGCAGCTGCTAAGTGCAGTTTGTAATTGCCATAAAAGGGATTGTGTGTATAGAAGTCGTTGGCACTTTTTTTATGTAGAGTATATTTTTCTCAACATAGCATGACCAATATCAAAATATTGAATTATTGTAGGATCATATTGAACGCAGTCTTGTACGTCCCTCATTAACGCATGGTTCCCAATGTATAAAAAATCATGAATGAGAATTTCTGGGTCGCGCGTTGCAATTGACTCATAGATCTCTCCCGAACGTTGACCTTCCTGTCCTTCAAAGCGTTGACCTGTCATAGTCACACTTGTCCGTACGTACATTGACCCAGGACAGCTGCGACATAGTACAGGAAAATAAATGACAGATTGCCGGTGAGGTAGTTACATGGAGGAAGTCATTGAACCTGATACGACTGACTGAACTAGTATTATCATATAGCCAGGTGACGTTGACCAATCAGAAGGCTCCATTCCACATTCCTTATGACGCCGTAATGTCACAAATAGAGTCAAAATCGGGTATTTATTCATCCCAATCCATACATTAAACAACCCAAATAATCACCCGCAGAACAGGGCTCTAGTTCTAAAAAATCCAAAAATAACTTTAGTTGTGTTCCAATGACCTCGGCTGACTCCCATAAGAACACCTGTTCCCTGCCTGTGACCCAGATAGAAGACATAGAACGTGAACTCTACCCAGTGACCTCAGGTGACTCCAGAGGGAACTACATATGTATGTTCTATGTTCTATTCAGCATGTACATTGTATCACTTACTGCATCAGTTTGGATAGACTATCGTGTAAGCTATATGATAATAGTGTTAATGTCCCGCCCTTTCTCGGTGAATATGGTGTGATAAAGCCTTGTCAGTTGCTATAACCACCTCATAAAGCCACCTCGTTCGCTGCGCTCACTTGGTGGCTTTATTCTGTGGTTATAGCAACTGACAAGGCTTTATCACACCATATTCACCTCGGGGCGGGACATTAACCCTTAATTATACGCCCGTCTTCGCGCTCCAGGACGTTGACCGGTTAATACTATAGGTCAAAGACCTCTTGTAGCGTCCATAGAGTTAAAGTTAAAGTTCTTATGTATTATTTCTGCGAATTTATATTTCCCCCACCGGCTTCCATAACGTAAGGCAACATACATGAATATAGGACTAAACCGAAGACAGAAATGATGTAACATTCAATATAATTGACAAACCTTCCATCGAAAAACATATCTGTTCCTTTATCTCTACTATAACTGCGAGAAGTTATCTAATGATACCTAGTTTTATTTTGTATATATCTTTTTATCATGTTTTGTTTTGACCTGTACTTAGCCCAGTGTGGCAAAAATGTGCAATAAAGGTCGTCATTCATTCATTCAATAACCGATACGCCTTACCGTTACGTGCCCCTAGTACATGTAAGCCCGTTTATACCCGCTGAAACTGTGCTATAGGGCATTGACCGGTCGCTCTTCCTCTTCCCCAATCGCGTGACATGCATGACAAGGTGAAATACATATATCATAATGACAGGGCGAGTTGTTTGGCGATTGCTCAAAGGCTATCGAATGAAATAAGCAACGATAGCCTTTGCAAAGCATGGAGATGACAGTAATTAAAATCGCGATCGAAATTGGATCCAATTGCAAGAATTGCACACAGCGTACGAAAATACTGAGAGCCGTTTGCATGCTAGCCTCTACCAGGCTTCGGGAGCCGGCTGGACATGCTGGAAAGAGTAGAAATTGGCCAAGTAGGGAGATAACATACCGGCAAACTGTACTCTCTAGCTTACCAACTCCCCTGGCATGTTATCTCTCTATTTGGCCAATTTCTACTCTTTCCAATTGCCTTCCGAAGCCTGGTAGAGGCTATTCACACGTCACAGCCGAAGAGGTCATTCCCATCTTGTAAATCTAAAAGCTGTCCTCCAGGACGTTGACCGGTTAAAACCAGTTTGCGCTAGCGGGCGCATCATGACATAATAGGTGTCGACCGATGTTGCAGTACCATTCGTACTCGATAGGTTTCGTGGACAACGTACCATATTTCCATTTCCCCTTGCAATTCAAGACAAATGGCTATCTATGGCTCTTTGCAACTGAATGAAATGTTATGTATCATATGCTACGTTATGGTTATACGTCCTTCACCCTTGTGGCTAGCGCTGTATTGCCATTTTTTTCATATCGGAAATATAAATCAATGGTGAAGCTTGTGCCTGCCAAGAATGCTCCCGGGGTTTAATATGCAAGATTAAAACGTGTTTGTTATTCGAAAGGGTGTCCTGCCAATCGATGTGAGGCTGTGCTAGGGTTTTGCGACATCCTTACATCTCTGGGCTAATCTCCAAGCAGATCATACGGTGGCGAGGCAGTATCCGTTGGCCAAATGAGTGTTTATGGACACTCCTCTGGCCAATGGATACTGCCTTGCCACCGTATGATCTGCTTGGAGATTACTAGTATCTCTGGGCTACACACTGTAGCTATGTACCATAACTATAATCTCCAAGCATATCCTTGAGTGGCAAAAAGGCGGTAACAAATTGGCCAGGGAGTATCCATTGGCCAGAGAGGGTCCATGAGCGACAAAAATAAAAAAGTAAATACCGGCCATATATTAAAAGCTAACGATCTTCCCCATCAACCTCTGCTTTGAGAGTACCATAGCTATCTGTCTATAGCTTTTATATGTCGTATCGTACAGGACTGAAACCTTATGTTAAAAAACTTGAGAGGCTGTAGGAGCTATAATATGTTTGGTAACCAGGATACGAAAAAATTAAAGGCGAATTTTCTAATCTCCCAGGACTTTCCAGCAGACATGGGTGACCAAAAGAATACATAACGAAGGTCCCCAGTCCCTAAAGTTTCAGCATGCAGCAGAGACTGCCCTTCAGCACGTTGACCCTCAACGTCACTCGGACGGATTAGCCAATCGCATGATAGATAGGTGAAATTATGTAAAAGGAAAGAAACCATCACCATTATTTGTTAGGGTTGAACAGCTGCCGTGGTTGTCAGCGCAGGACGCTTTTGACTTCAGACGACATACCTTGGGAGGTTAGTTCAACAGGTTTTTTGTCCAGGGTTTGATAATCAAACTATTTATTTTGCTTAGCACTATTTTGCATTTTTGCAATATCTAAGTTTTAAGAAAAATGTTTTTTTTTCCTAGTCTCAGCACCTCGAATCCTGTTGGGTGTTTCACTGAAATCATTTCTATTTGTCTTCATTGTTTTTACGTAATAGCCTGCTGTGAATAAAGGTTATTATTAATATTAATATTAATAACGTAACGCGTTTTGATGACTGCTGTGTGAACTGTTAGCCTCTACTAGACTTCGGGAGGCGGTTGAAAAGAGAAGAAATTGGCACATTTCGGGTGCGGCAAGCTCTACCTTCTAGCGGACCAACTCTCCTGACATGTTATTTCTCTATTTTCAATATTCTACTCTTTCCAGCCGCCTCCCGAAGCCTGGTAGAGGGTATGAAGTGCCCTTGGAGGAGCCTGCTGACAAGGCTACAGTCATAATGATATTGTTGGGTTCGCTCCAAAAGTCGCTATAAGCCTGGGTCAATTTTGTGTCCCAAAGATATATATCATATATATCATATGTATCATATAAGGCTACTAAGTGTCAGACGTTGACCGATAATGACCTAAAAAGCTCATTGGCCATACCTCTGGAAGTATATAACAACGTTAAGTATGATGATATTCATATAAAATGTAACGTTAGATCTGATACTGAAAAATCATAGGTAAGCAAGAGATGCAGCCTTGTCCATATCCTATTTAATTCTCGTTCTTCCCCCATCAATTGCAAACAGGTTTTGAGGTTTCCTTCTCTATCCTACTTGGTAAAACCCAGGCTCCTTGCTTTGCCTTGGTGAAACAGTCGCGAATCTTCTAGAAGATTCTATTTTATAGTGCTTTCGCGGTCAATATCATAGTATAAACCTCCTGCAACTGGTATGCTAGTTAATGTCTACAAAGAAGCTATATTTCTGTTATGGAGAGTAGATCTGAATACTACAATACATTATCATGCATGGTTAGTACTAGGGCTCAAAGAGAAGTGTTAGGAAATAGAATGTCTGCGAACGCGCTTTGACCGCAGGTGAACTTTCCTCACATGATTGCATTTAGTGACTCCATCCCTCTCTTGCACGGCCTGTTTTATCCACCATTTTCCATCTTATTTTCAGAACTAAATGTGGAGTAGAAAATTATGAAAATTTTTCCCGCCAATTCTGACAAGGTTACTGATCAACGACTGGAGGAAAACAAATATTCTTAAGGTTAGAAGTCAGCGTGACCCAAGATCTGCAGCATCGATCAACTGTGCTCAAGCACATTGACCTTCGCGGGCTGACGTCACTCGACCAATCGCGTGACAGGGGAAGTAGTTTCAAGATACCCGTGTGTCAAGCGTCAAGCTATTGCTCAATATTTTGGGCTCATGTCAATCCGGAAAAAAAGTCGGACCTTGCGCTACCATGTACTAGACTTAATTAACTTCCGTAGTTGTTGCTCACACTAGCCTGAAATCAGTCAGCTATACCAAGGACATTATACAGAGCCCTTGGCTATACGTTCTCTGTTTTGCACTGCGAGATAAAACTGCCAGCGGCAATTCATCATTGGCTGATGTACTAGTAATTGCTTTTAGTGGTGGAACTAGCTTTAGTGAGGGCAATGAGATAATTGTGAATAATAGACTCTTCATTTTCATTCCTTCTCATTTTCGTCTTGACCTTTGGAACGGATTTTGGCATTCTGCGACAAAAAGTGTTTTCCAATATTGTTTTTTTTTTTCAATTTACAGCATATACTTGCTCATTTTGCAGCTACTTTGTACCGTAAATTGTACGATTTACATTTTGGTCGAAAACTTTTTTTTTGTTGAAACGGACGTAAATTCATGCGCGCGTGGATGTCAAAAAGAAAAGCAAACTTTTTGCCTGAACTGTAACTTTAGAGGAAATGCTGAATGATAGGGTAGGCTGTCAGGAAACAAGGCAGCCAGAAATTTCCGCCCCATTGGGTATTTTTTATTTCTTTATTTTGCTTTTCTGTTCCTTTTTTAAAGGTTACACGTAGGTTTGTATACTTATTTTCTTTTAGAAAACCATTAAAAATCTCAAAGCCCCAAACATCTGACAGATTAGTCCCTGTGGCAAGGGCAGCCTTGAAACCGCTGCAACCTGCGTAGGCAGTGACGTCTCCTTCCGGATCCAGTTCTGTGCGGCTGCAGCCAGAGTTTTTAGTATCGTTCTTTCCGCTACAGGCCTGGTCTGTGTAACGTCCTCGGCAGTGTACTGAGACTACACAGACAGACCTGTTTCACCTGTGCGTTTTACAGAACCTACGGAACATCTTTCTGCGCGAAATGATGGCGACGCTGACGAGACCAAAGCGAAGGTAAGAGTTTTTTTTTTTCTTTCTTTATATTTTGCGCAGTTGCAGAAAATTATGTCCGCCATGTTTTTTTTTTTCACGTCTCGTCTGTATTTTGTTGACCCTAGACAATTGGCCTTCGACATCGCTGTCGCTACAGACTTTTTATAGCTCAGACACTTGTACAGTTGTAATATATTTACCGTGCAGTTACTTCAGACTAGTTACAGCGTTTAACACGTGCGATTTTTGTCTGTCGTTTGGCTCTTTTCTCACACAGAAAGAAGCAAAGTTATGGCGTAAAATGGAGGAGGGATGGGGGCGGGTCTGGCAAAAATTGGGTCACAAAGTCTGCCGAGAATAATTTTTTTTTTAGTCCAAAGGCTACCACGGATAAATTTTGGTTATTAACGATGAAATACAGCTATTGTTTGACCATTCATGTTTTTTTATTTTCTTCAACTTGTTCTAAAAATGATGCACAAATGAATTTTTGGTTGAGAACTTTTAAAGAGAAAGTGGCTTGTGGTCGACATGTAATTTTATCACCGTGTCATATGTCTTGTTTTGTTTTAATGGTTTGTTTAGACCCAGACAGGATTATAACACAAATTTCAGCAAAAACTAGATCTAGTAGATGGCAAGGTGCAGTTGTATTTTTACTGTGTCTGTATAATTCAACCTTATGTACTTTGCTTTAGGGTTTAGCTCAAATATTATGATGTGAGATATTCATCAACGTGTAGAAATCCCTGGTACAAAGTTAAATCTAAAAAAAAATTCTGGCAGTTTTTGTCTTTAATAACAAGATATTACCACCAGTTATAAAATGGAATGTTATCTTTTGAAACTTTGTACTTAGCACTTATTTTTCACTGGGGAAGTGTTTGAAAAGACCTTAGCTTAGATCCTAGCCTGATATCCAGTCTATCCTGGATTGGGCTGGATCTCATGAGGGCTATAAGATGAGCAGCCAGTCAGTTGTCTTGTCTTTTTGACAGATGCTCCATAATGTTGAGGCCTAAGGGGTTAAGAGACCACCATTCTATGTAACAGAATACAGTCTTCTGTTTTGGATTCTGATATTTTTAACACATTTCACCACCGTCAGTCTCACATTCTCTATAGTTCATCAGCATTTTGTAAGACCAATTAACCCTCGTCACACACAATGATACATGTCCTTGCCACCGAAAGTAGCACATTAGTATTGGCAACAACGTGTAGGACCAAATTCTCTCTAGACAGACTGTCAGACAGCCTTTTCTGCCCCACATATCTTGTGTCCAAAGGTCACATTGGGAAACTCTAGGCCTGACCCAGTTCTAGGGACAGTCTCTTAAGCTGTAATGCATCACAAGTCGCAGTTGGTACTGTAGGTCACTGGCCTAATTTAAGAGACCTAGCTTCAAAGTGGGACAGTTCTTTTTTCTTCAAGCTACAGAATATGGATGTGACAGGGTGTTTTTGGTGTGATACTGGAATATTTGCACTTTTTGGTGGTGGTATATATATTATAATATATTAATAGATCAATTTGTACTGTAACCAGTTGGTACTGTAGGTTGTTGGCCTAATTTAAGAGACCTAGGTTCAAAGTGGGACAATTATTTTTTCTTCAAGCTACAGAATATGGATGTGGCAGGTTGTTTTTGGTGTGATACTGGAATATTTGCACTTTTTGGTGGTGGTATTACATGATCAATAAGTCATTTATAGAAAGCTTGGCTACATATGTATGCCACCTAGAAATAACTTTGATGGCCTACGTGTCAAAAGTGTGTGCCCTGTCAAAAGTGTGGTGTGCTTTGAAGTTCATTTTGCCATATATGCAAAGATTGAATATAGTACACATGTCAGACTTAAACTGACACACCATAAGGTAGTGTAATGATATATCCAAAGGATCAAATAACAGGTTGAACTTGTGAATCAATCATTTTCAATCTAACAGTTAAACTTCTTTGAGTGATAATCCAAGGTTGTAATGTACTCCATGGGGAGAGAATTCACTCAAGATAACCGTCCACGTTACTTCGACAGGAACTCGGAGAAGCGCAAGGAGAAGTCTCGCGATGCCGCGCGAGTTCGGCGCTCAAAGGAGACGGAGATTTTCTACGACCTCGCCCACCAGCTGCCTTTGGCTCACAGCAAGAGTGCCCAGCTCGACAAGGCTTCAATCATGAGGCTAACCATCAGTTACCTGAAGACTAGGATGATCTTTGCAGGTAGGAACCTTTATCTTTAAAACTCTCTATCTGACAAAAACTGCGTAGTTATCTAGTCACATACCGAAGGCTATTGGAATCAATTTTTGACACGTCAGGGTCTTTCTGCTAACATGATAGCTTACTCCTTGAAGAAAATTTACCATGCTTTAGTTTTAAGGCTTCTACAGTATCAGAGTTTTTATTATTGTGGGAAAAATTTGAACAGTTGGGTTGCCTTCCAAAAAGGATGGCTACACGACTACAGGGGTGACACTGATTGCCAAGAAGAGTTGTATAATTCAGTGCTTTCCTAGAAAAAAGTGTCTTGTCATTTCCGTTGCTATTGTGCAAGCGACCTTGCCTATTGACGTGGAAGTGACAATATTTTAATAACAAGTGCGAAATTGCAGACAGTATATCTTGTAGTCAGGATGTGCTATACACTGTACTCCTCTTGGTTCAGGAAAAGCCTGGATTCCCCTTGACTCGGTAAATCCCCGTCTGAATTACTACTCAGAACTCAACAGGTCGTCTACCTGTGTTTGAGTATGTCAAACGGCAGGAAGTAATTGTAGGGTTGGGCTGTAAATCAGTTTGGTGCAGTTTCTTGGCCTTTTGCCCTTTAATCACAGTCACACCATATTTCTATCTGATAACTCAGCCTGAAAATAAACTTGGGTCCAATATCCATTGAAACAAGCTGTTTTGTTGTAAATCTTGTTGTGCGCAGACATTTGTTGAACTTCCTGAAAGATCTGAGACAGGAATTTTCTGGGCGTGTTTCAGACTGGTTCCGACAGGTATGTCTAGGTGCGTCACTGACCGCATATTGGTGTACCAGTAGAACCCATTCGCCCTGTCACACAAAGTAAGTACTCTCTTGCACGTCAATGACCTTGACACCTACGGTCCTTTCTCTTCCAGACGCGGGGGTCATCAAGGTGGAGTCGTCCACGGACCAACAAATGAGCGAGCAGTACTTGAAGGTGCGTACGTGTGGGGATAGGATATCGTGTTACCGCGTCTCGTGATCGCACCGTGCAGCGCGCATGCCCAGTCCCCCAGAGGGCAAAGCAATTTGGTCCACCTCATTGTCTTGGCCTAGTTGTGAAGCTCGTAAATCAAGTGTCCTGTCCGTTGTCTTGTTACCGCAGAGTTTACAATGGGTCAGTTTCCCCTGGGATTCCTATCCGTGCGTCATATGACGTTGTTTTCATAGCAAGGGGCAGTGACCATGACCTTGTTAGTAGCTTACCTGACAGCGTATGTGACGTTTTACTCAGATCCGTGGAGAAGAATAAATATTTTTCTTCAATCGACTGTTTATTTAGTGATTTCATCCTTATCTTCCTTGTAGATGCCAAGTGCGTAGTTAGTGTTTTGAATGGGGAAGGCTTTGTGTACTTGTCACAATGCATTCCTCTTTTGAAGTCGGTATAGGTGAATGTGTTATCAAAACAACTATTGCGGTCGTTGACCTTCAAGTGCCTGTTGCGGTATTTATCCTTTAGCAAGATGAATGCTGACATGGCTTATTACGCATGGATGAGTCTAATGCCCAAAGTGATTGCAAAGTCCATGTTTTTGGAAGCATTTGCACGTAGAGCTGTGTACCTAATACCTGTGAAAATATTTTGGTACAGGTATGGACCTGAACATCTGGTGTACCTGTACTTGAACGAAATGAAACACTAGTAGACACCGTTTTTTTACCCTAGAAATAGCTAAGGTAAACTGCATCTTAAAAGATGAAAATTTTGACAATTGGAAATCAGGTGTAAATATCAGGTGTAAATATTCTTGTTTATGATTTAAAAAAATATGTAACCCTCGTAGCATACAAAGACAATAATTTACCTCTAAAAAAACACAGATGATTGGCCAAACATATGCGGACCTGTACCTTAACCCATGTACCTGTACCTAACATTTGTTTAGGTACACAGTGTTAGGAACACACTACATATTATGATGACTTTGACTTTCTCTTTGTGTATTGTATCCAGGCGATGGATGGATTTGTGTTGAGCCTGTCTGACGAGGGTGACATCATGTACCTGTCAGAGAACGTCTGCAAATACCTGGGACTGACACAGGTCAGATCAATGCTTCTTTTGTTGTTGATTATATGGTAATTAAGTTTACGAAGATTTTGATTACGTTTACCTTCGCAGCAGGAAAACATATTTTTTGCTCTGTTTCTTCCTCTCCAAACACATCAGGTCAATGACCTGGACCACAAGGCTGCCACCAAGGTAACTGGTGCTGTAGCAGACGGTTGGATTACATTATGTAGCAAGTGGCTTGACAGTTGGATGAGCTGGCCACCATATATTTGCATTGTATAAATGTGTTTTAAGTAAGATATTATGAACAGAGCATGTAGTAGTTTGTTGGGCTAGACCATGTGAAGGTAAACAACATGCATTGATTTTCTTTGCAAATTTTACACTTCTACTCTATTATTGATAGGGAGATTTGTATTTTCCTTCCAGTTGGAGCTGACTGGGCACAGTATCTATGACTTCACCCACCCTTGTGACCACGAAGAGATCAGGGATGTCCTGTGTACAAAAAATGGTGAGTTTTTTCTTCTTGTATGTTGGTTGAGTTGATATTGTGTTATATTATATTTCTTGCCTTGAGAGTATTTTTTTTGTCTTATATTGGGTTGTCTATGGCAAATATACACATTTAAGTTGATATTGACAAGTATTTCCATCATTTTTTTCTGTAGGGTACACTAAAAACAAGGCCTGTTCCTTCTTCATGCGGATGAAATGCACACTAACCAGCAAGGGTAGGAACGTCAACCTCAAGTCAGCTACCTACAAAGTGAGTAAAATCCACTGCTATTAAAATGTCAGACAAAAATGGTGTGTTTTGCAACTTGTCAGGGTTAGAAACACTGTTTTCCTGTATACATGTACATGCACTGGTGTAGGTAACATTGACAATGTTTCAGAATGGTATTTTATTCCTTGAAAGAGTGAATGAAAGGAAAGGAAGAGCCCAACTGCCTACCATTAAAAGAGTGCAAAGGATAATGTCCTAAAATATCGTGCTTAATGAAAACCTAACTCCCAGTTGATTCAGCGCATGGCTCAGCATAAGACTGAAGTCCTCTTATATTGTCAAACATTAGTCTTGCTGTGGATACAAGCCATGCATATTATAACGTACGTCAAGGAAGGAGGCACGCATTTAATCAAATCCCTTTCGTTATCGTTTGATCGTGTCGTGCCTATGATACTAGATTGAGAGGCTTATAGATTAGATGGTGTCCTAGTTAACGTACACCACGCACCAAAAAAGACAACATATAGCTAGTGGCATCTGTGGATGATGTCCGTGCATTTAATCAAATCCCATTTGGTATCGTTTGATCACATCGTGATCGAGGGCTTACATATTAGATGGTGTCCTAGTTAACGTACACCATGTACCAACAAAGTTAACATAGCTAGTGGCATCAGTGGTTGATGTATGCCTTTGAATTAAGAAAATTACTGGTTGAAACCTCATATTGCCTGTTACCTGACGGATCAAAAAGCCATTACTGGATGAAATGAGCCAGCCCCTAAGTAGATTTGGCTGCGGGGTTAATATGTGGAAGGCTTTGATGGTTTAATGGCATCTGCGTCATACAGACATGGTTGTTGCTATGGCTTAGGGCTTCTGGTTATTATCATGAAAGTTCATCTGTGTTGGTAGTTACATGTTTGAAGTTAAAGCTTTTGATCCAACACAAATGTTAGTGTTGGATCAAAAGTTTTAACTTTAAACTTCTACTTAAATTTTTGTAGGTCTTTGTACTGGTTATGGCTTTAATTCTCAGGTACTTAACTACCAATCTTAATTTTCAGTCTGTACTGAAATGGCTGGAAGATACACATACTAGGAACTGTTAAAAATCATCTGTCCAGAAATACATGGATCTCAAAGTACAAACAAATGTACGACATTGAAAGGTTGAAAATGAAAGAAAATAACATCATTTAATTTATGATGTGGATTGTACAGATTTTTAAAGGCATCCAATGAAATTTAAGGGCGAGAAAACAAAGAAAAATCTGGATGAGGATATTTGTCTGCCATTTCTTAGCACATTTTCGTCATCATTTCACACTTGAAGCCTTTGAAATAGCCCAGAGACATGTTACGTGAGGAGTCCCTTTATTTCTTGTACCACCAATAAATTGCTAGAACCAGCCTACAGTACCAAAAAAAATACATAACCGATTTTCATCAACATTTTTACATATCAGTATCCTATATGGGATAGGATTGATTCAACTTACTATATTAAAAGAATGACCAGAAAACTGACTTTGAAAATCCAGTTTTACTGACCTAAAATTTGGATGCTTTAGATGCTCTTAAAACAGAGGCATTAGTCTATGTCTGACTATATACATAGATATACATAGTTAAGCACACTGGTTGAAAGCTCTAGGTTAGAACTTCTTCATGTTGGATCTAATGTTTTTGACTTTAAGCAAGTATTAACTGTTGTTATTCCCTTCCCCAGGTCATCCACTGCCAGGGCTACCTCAGGTCTTATAACAACAGCCAGCTGAACTCCTTGGGGTGCAAGGAGCCGCCCCTGCTGTGCCTTGTGGCCATCGGAGAGCCCATCCCCCACCCCTCCAACATCGAGTTCCCGCTGGACTGCAAAACCTTCCTCAGCAGACACAGCATGGACATGAAGTTCACCTACTGCGACGAAAGGTAGGGAATCACATCATTGGTTAGAAGTACCCATTTGCAGACATTTTAAAAATTTGAGGAGAAAAATTAAGCAACCTGTAATTTTGCAGACTGAAAAATCAGGCTTGGTCTTTAAGAGCTTTTGTGTTTACTACTGACTCTATAATATACAAGTAATTTTGCATGTATTTTTCAAATCTCATGTAAAATGTTTGCCAACATGCAATTTTGTATATGCCATAGGTTTAGATCCAGACTTTTAGTGTGTATTTGCAGAAAACTGAAAAAAAGTATTAACCATATTGCAATGTGTCTTAAAGTCATCCAATGCAATTTCACTGGCAACAAAACAAGAAACATTCTGGATGAGGAAATCTGTCTCATATTGACATTTACTGCCATTTCTTAGCACCTTTTCGTTGTGAAATTGCTTCAAGTGCTTTCAATACAGTAGGGTGTGGCCACAATTATCCTCAGTACATTGCTTGCACTGATAATTTGTTCACAATTTAGATTTTGGGAGAATGCATTTTGTCATAACGATCGACAGGAATCTATTTGATAAGAAAAGCCAATAGCTCGTTGCAAGAAGAAACGCAGCTACTTTTGAGCTCGGAAAGTGTAAAGATCTACATGCTTTTTAGAAATGTTGGGAGTGATCCTTGCAGTAAATCATTGCCCTTGCTGTCATGGCGATGTGAACCCTGGTAGTTGTGGGTGTTATCCGGACTTCCTGTGGTGTTCTGAACAGGACTTATACAACCTACGTGTACTTTTGCACACACATGTACCATTCTTGGAAGGCTTAAGTGAAAGGATAAAGATTAGGGTAGATGACCTGTCATAGTTCAACGTCTTTTTGTCAACATTTGGAAACTATCCAACTAGATGTTTTGCAGAAATACATGTAATCTTAAAAGGGGGCATCTGAAAGGACACCCTCCTAGCACTGTTGTCGCAAGATTGGTGATCTATCCGGCATGTCCTTGAAGAGAAGATTGTTGTACAAAATTGTGTGATTCCTTTCCAACCTGTCCTTGTTGTTTTTTCCTGACAGAATCACAGAGCTGCTGGGGCACGATCCAGCCGACTTGTTGGGGAAGGGGGTGTACGACTACTGCCACGCGTTGGACGCGGAACGCTTGGAGAGAAAGCACAGATGCTGTGAGTTTTTACCACATGTTTCTGCCATATGTTTCAACATTATTCTCCCAGACAATTGCTGTTTTGTATATAAACTTTGTAGTTCTAATCTGAGTTGCCAAGTTTTCTCTTGAACAGTTTGAGTTCGGGTACACATTTGCTGGTCTGCAAAGCCTTTATCTAGATCTGTCCCATTCTTTGTGTTGACAGTGTACCAGAAGGGGCAGGTGACGACCGGTCCGTACCGGTTGCTGGCCCGACAAAGCGGCTACGCGTGGGTGGAGACCCAGGCTACCATCATCTACAACAACAGGACTGAGAAGCCACAGTGCATCGTGTGTGTCAACTATGTTATCAGGTGAGTGTCTTACATCTTCAAGAAGCCCTAAACCCCGTTTTCCAGTCTTCTTTCCAGTCAGTTTTCAATCAAATACTGGATGCTACTACACGGCTTGAAATACCACCTGCATATGCGGATTAGTGCAGGTAAAATTGGATCTGTGCAGGTGTTTCTGATGTTTACCTGCACCTAACCTGCAACTGTCAACATACTGGGTTTATGTACAAATGTTAGGCGTATGTAAATTTTCATTAACTGTTTTAGCTGTCACTGTTTTGGCGGTTTCTAAACAGTTGATCCATACTTCCTAAATTCTGACTGATGAAGGTAAAATTTGTCTGGTGCAGGTAATTTTCAATGTTAACCTGCACCAGTGCAGGTATGCCAAGCCTTGTACCACTACTTATGTTTGTAGTTTTGAAGACCAATAGCTGTTTTCTCCACAAAGACCAATTTTTTCCTTTATTGTTCGTTTTCCCCCAGTGACGTTGAAGAAGAGGGGAGTGTGTTGTCGAGCGAGCAGGCCAGCCAGAAGACATTCCCCAAGGTGGAGAAGATCGAGGAAGACGTCACGCCCAGCAACCTCCCCAGCTTCGCCACCGAGGCCGCCGAGATCTTCAGCAAGAAAACTCCTGACATGGAGCCGGGATTCTTCTGGGACGGCGAGCAAGGTGAGCTATCCTGTTCACGTGTACTCCACACACGCACGCACTCAGATTATGTGCCTATATCCAGGTCAATGATATGCTGTTCTTTAGAACCTAATTAGAACGCTCTCATACAGACACGAGTTGTGCAGATAGGGCCTCTTGAATATTAAGGACGATAAGCTTACCTAACGTGCTTGTCATGAATCTAGGGCAGCAAATAGAGTTAATTCGTGGAAGAAGGTACTGAATTAAGGGCGTATCCATAAATTTACTTCTGGCATCGTCAGCAATTCTAGATAGATATTGAGAGAGGAATATGTATTGTTTCTTGCTATTTTATATGTCGTGCAAATGCTTTAAATTTTAAAACTCCCTTACAGTGTACATCCAGAACCTCACATCAGTTCATAAATGAATAAGTAGTTAATATATGGTGTTTTTGTTTTTAAATGCCGTGAAAATAAACTAAACACGAGAAGATTTTTTGCTTAAATGTCCTGACAGATATGTCAGAATATATACTATTCTGTTCTATTACTTTTTTTTTACAACCTGTTCCATGTTACAGCACTTGAAACATAAAAAACAAGTTGTATACTAAATTTGGAGACAAGAAGAGCTGAAATGTAGTTATGCCTGGTTCCTCCCCATAAACAATGTGTATCGCCATGCTATGTCCACAGCTCTGCGGGACAGTCCGGAGGATCTGACACGAGTGGCGCCGGCAGCGGGAGACGCCATGATCCCGCTAGGCTTCCCGTCACCAGGTAGCTACCAGAGTAAAAAAACAAGAAAAAACGGTCACCAACCGTGTCCTTCATACTGCCTTGTCACTTTCCCTTGCAGTTATATTTTAAAACAAAAACTGCCGTCACGCTAGACGTTCCAAATTGCAAGTATCGCATGTAAGCAAAACAGCCACGTGATTCAATTCAATTTCATTGTAAAATCAGAAACTGGCAGAATTGTGTTGATTTTTACAAAGATTATTACAACAATAATTCCAGAAATGGCACCAAATTGTGGCTAGCCTTAATATGATTGATGTAAAGCTTCATGCTTATGCTGATTGAAAGCTGCCAAGAGATTTAAGAAGTAATCGTACAGTTTATACCTTAAATGCTGTTTCTTTAGTTGTTGTTGTTGTCCTTATGTTGTGTTACATAATGTTCTTAAAAGCAGTCCATACTGACATCTGTACGACCATTGAGAAAAAGCAAATTTGGTTCTGTTGAGATTTAAGAGAAAAAATTCCACTGTCTAGTAAGAAAAGTTGTGATGGTGGTATGGAGGATGGTAATCTGACACCAGACGACAATGATGGTAGCTACGGATGGGAAGGACCCGTCCAATGCCGGCACGGATGGAGATCATCACAAGTGTCAGACCATCATTTGAGGTTCTGGAAAACAAACCATATTAAGACATTGAAGAATAAGGGCTTGGTTTTGTAGGTAACAAAGGTGTATTCTAGTGAGAGGGATAATCTATAGGACTTCTCTCTGTGTCCGTTGTGGACCAGAGAAGTCAAAGTCTGCGGTCTGTGCCTCTGCAGATGTGCTGTTCGGCTCCTCCAGCCTCCCCGACAGCTTTGAGAAGACTTCTCTGGACCCTGGCTTCGGACAGGAAGACCTCTTCGGCGGCCAGCAGTCTTCGCCCCAGTACTGCAACCCCTTCGGTTCCTCGGACAACAAAGACACCTTCAGTCTCCTGCGGGACCCCAAACCCCTCCTGTCCCCCTTCAGCTCTTCAGACAGCAGTACCCCGCCGGTGTTAACGGTGAGTACTGCACAGCACGTCGGTAGAATGTACTGCACCTGTGCAAAACCTGTAATGTATTGTGTGCATAGGACCTCGGCAGAACATATCGTTTCAGGTTGTATTTGTGCATTCAAATGTTGTGTTGGAAAAGATGTCTTCTACAAAGGGCAAAATTCTGATGCTATGTTGGCCAAAAATCCAAGAAAAACAATGCAAAATCTTGGCTTTTACAGGCACAGTACATTCTGCATGCCAACATGCTGCACCTCACCAGTATATTATATTCGCCTTCTTTGATTCAATCTGTGAATTTTAGCTACTCGAAAGACATGTTTTAAAGACCATATTACTAGCTGAAAAAGGAACGTTTTCAAAAGCTTTATTCCAGCCTTGTATCTAACACCGTAGAAGAGAAATTACATGTAATTTGCCCAAAGAAAAAATTTCTGAAACAGCAAAGTTTGTAACACTGAAATCTGCTAGACTAAGGAAAAAGCGAAGAAGTGAAAATAACAATCTTTTATCCTACGAACCAACAGCCACTGAGTGACGAGACGGACACAGAAGGGCAGCCTATTCCCACCGGGGACATGGACTTCGTGGACCAGCTCATGGGTCTACGGACGACGAGTGACAGTAACCTGACAGGGATGGGGCAGCAGAAGGACCAGGGAGCGAACCCAGCCACCAACAAGCAGCGGCAGGAGAGTACCCTGGGAATGAGAACCAGCAGCACCCCTGACCTGACAGCCATCAACCCCAGCTTGGCATTGGACACAGGGCAACGTACTCAGGGCAACGTACGTTCAAGGGCGGCCTGTAAACTGAATGAGGTGAGTAGTGGCTGTCCTTTTTCACTGTTGCCTTCTTACACCCAATCCCTGGACCTAATCCTCTGACTTGTTGTTTATTTCTCTTCATTCTCGAGCAAAATTCAACCAAAGTACAGCTGTCATCAACTTTGCAAGAGTTGGGCAACCATCCAATGTAATTGTGTTGTTTTTATCCAGCATTACGGAGACAATTTTCTGTTCTTAGGCAGATTTTTACGAGGGAAAATAAATTTTCAGCAACCCAATTTTCTGCTCAAGCTTTAATTCTTGCTGTCTGATCAGACAATGTGCCATTGAAAATAACGAAAAAAAATCAACAGCCAAATACAGACTGTCCTTGTTTGGGAGGCTGTGTTTCAGACGTGCCGCTATGTGTTATGGCTGTATGGAATGTGACAACAGAAATGGAGCCCTGTTTTTGGCTGTAAGCTCCTATTACTTCCAGACCAGTGATAGCTTTGTGGCCGTGTGGTTGCCTGCAGTTATGACGCACATGGCCTTGGTCAGAAAATGTCATCGATGACGTTGGGTAGTGAATTGTTGACAACATGTTTATGGAAGAAGGATGTAAACGTCTTAATGCTTAACACGTTAGGTCACCTTGTGGGTCCGTCAGTCCATATATCATTGAAAATTAGGTCACCACCAAAACTGTTTGTCCAATAATTCATTTGGTCACTGGCGAAAAATGGCTGCAACCCTCCATTGGAAAGTCTTTGTTTAAAGTTTGTGACATTGTTTGACACTTAACGTCTTTGACTAATTTAGTTCATTGACGGACAAGGCAAGTCTCTGGCACCATTGGACACAGATCGAGGGACAAAATACTTTTTCTGCTAACATTGAAAATTACTTGCACCAGACAAATTTTACCTGCACCATTCAGAAATTAGGAAGTATGAATCATACTAAAAACTGTTCACAAATCATTTCATATTCACTTTTCACTTCATATCGGTACAAATGATGAAAATACACAATACACATAATAAACTTAGTATATGGATCAGTACAGGTAGATATCAGAAATGCCTGCACAGTTCCAATTTTACCTGCACTAACCTGCATATGCAGGTGGTATTTTGAGCCCAGGAGATGTATAAAGAAGGAGTAGAAACATAATGATTGTGTATTAGGCATTAAATAGCTGTGGCATTTTTTGTTGGTAGCGACCACTGTCAGCAGAAGAACTGAGTTATCGAGCTCCGTACATCCCGGCCTACGAGGTGCCGTTGGTTCCTCCCGACAACAGCGTTCTGGCATCCCTTCTCGAGACCGACAGGCGGCGGTCGTTTGCACCGAACAGATCGTACAACAACAACAACCCTTACGCCAACATGACGCCAAGAAAGGTAGCCACAAAAAGAAAGGCACATCAATGTGCTACATAGAAGCTTTAACTCATATCTGTTTGATGGATCCTCTGCTTCCTAATGTACGGGTAGTGGCCTGCTGTCTCACCTATGTGCTTGCCTTGTCCAAGTGCTTTGTAAGCTGTTGTCATTAATTGCCTGTAAATTTCACATGTGGTAACAAAGGCTTTTTCATGGAAAGGGACATTTCTGATGCTGCCGCCTTTTGGCTAGCTATCCCATGTGCTTGCTTGTCTCTTAGGTGTTGTTGGTGTTATTGGGTGTCTCACTGATGGTTCGTTCTTGTCTATTAAGTCCTTCCCTTCCAAGAGCATGCTAGTATTGCTACCGAGAGAAAGCTGATGAGTGTGTATACATTTGATTTGTGAGTCTGTTAAAGGTGGAAGCCCTCGGGAGGTTTGCACCCAAGTCATGCGGGGCCATGCCTCCCCACTTTTGTTGTTTTTACCCTCCTGTGTGTCGGAGTGACACACAAATGTGAACCCTTGGCTCCGTGCCAAGCTCCCCTGGACGGTACCAGACTCAAGTCGCTTTACCCTCTCTCAGTCTGTCTCGTTGGCTGCAGTACTGTATGTGCCTGTGGCGTTTTTCGTCTGCAAACCTCAAAGTGATGTCCGGGTCTATGTGTTTGTGACACACACTGCTTCTGTGAAACAAAAACAGTCTTCATAAGCTACGTGTTTATGCATTTGACTGTCAATAAACTGCAAACACTGCACTGTATTTTTAAAACTTTTTCTGTACATGTGAGTTGGATGTCAAATGGTCTCTTACAGAAGTGTGCTATGAAATTCCTCTATTGCTACAGTGGTCTCCAAAAGTGTCAATGGTGTTTTTGCGAAATATGTTAAGGCTGCCACTGCCCTATCTTTGCCCCATGGTTCCATTGGGCACATGGCCAAAGGTCAGAAAAGCAGCTCTCCCAACAAGCACATTCCAAACAGTCTGGGCTCCCTCAAAAAGTTGAAGGTCACAACAGAAATGAAGAAATGTTCACTCTAATATTTAGGACCCCGAAAAGGTTCACCAGGTCAAAAGCCTGGAATTTTTGAAGTCAAAAATTTGAAATACCTTTTCTTGGGTAAATAAACTAACTGCAAATGGCACAAAGCTTGTATAGGGCAGCAAGATAAACAGTGACAGTACTCTCAAGTTCTGTTTGAAAGTCCACAGCGATTATGGACTTCTTAGGATGAAGCAAAATTGCAATGAAGTTGAACTTCTGTCACTTTGACATTGGGCAGAGATTCAACGCACAGCTAATGCAGCCAGTTGGAATGCTTTAGTTTGACTGCAACAGCAACTGTGTATGACAACAATTGTTTGGTCCTGGCAGCATCCATTATTTTTGAGCCAACATCACAAACTCTATCAGAGTCAGATTTCTTTCTAACAGCTTGTACTGTCGGCATAAGAGAAGTTGAAGGCTGTTTCTAAATATGTTCTTGCTATCCGATCCTCTTGTCACACGCAGACTCAACATGCGGCCCCGAGTAAAAACAGCTGCTCTGCTGCGGGGGACCTCCCGTTTGCGGCGTACGCCTCCCCGTCTCCGCAGATGGTGACCATGAACGGTAAACACCTCCGCGTGGCAAAGGTCTCCCCGATGAGCCAGCCAATACAAACAGACCGCGCGGCCAAGATCACAGCCCAGCAGCTTAACAGGTATTGCGTCATACTTTTTTCTTTGCCATTCTTGCAATTTTCTTGGAAATTTTGAGAGTCATAACATGATTATGCTTATCGTTAGAACATACTGCACCCGTGCATACTATCCAGATTTTTCAAGGTTTTCGTTGGATGATTGGTCGACGTTTCATCAGAATTTTACCTGTTTCAGTTGAATACTATAGACAGAATGTCATCCTTAAATATGAGAATACAACCTTAAAAGAGACGTTCTACAAAAGTGCTATGCACAGCACATTATGGGTGTTGCACAAACATAGTACATTCTTACAACATGCTGTTATGGCTATTCTTACACCTCTGCTATCTTACAGAAACATATCAGGCAACACTTTACCAGAAGCCAGAGGCATCACACACACACCAGGCAAGTACGGCCCCATCGGAAAGCTAACTTTTGCCCTGAGCAGTAAGAGAAAGAAACTGGAAGAGGACGACATCAAAGCGGCGGCTCCGGAGAAGAAACTACCACAGCCAGACAGAGGAGAGAAGACGGATGGGTTCAACACTCAGCCTCAAGTTAAAAAGGCACGACTCAAGGCACCTAACCCACTTGCCACAGGTAAGACTACATGTATGTTCACTATGAAACAACAACTCTCACAGATCATATCCAGGGCTCGAAATACACAGACAAAACTTGCAATGATTTTCAGGTGATTTTCAACATTTGCAGGTAAAATATGTTCTGATACTACTTAGTTTGAGAGCTTTGTCTTTGCAACTATGTATGATTTTGCATGCAAAATTTGAGCCCTGATGTCTATGCATGTTTTTTTAGAATTGCTGGTTGCTGAATCTGTACAATGTTGTAGAGGACTATACTGCATGGTACAGTCATTTTGTCCAGAAATTAGGACCAAAGACACAGCTGCAAATTGGGCCATATTGATATGAATGAAACTTATCTACTTAAGAGCTACAAATGTAAACTCATCTACTTCAGGGCTACTCCATAGAATCCTTCTATCATCTCATTTTGATCGTACACCTCTTCAGTGGAATTGAATTCCACTTTTGATGTTACACAAGTGAAGTGAAACCTGCTCTTAGACAAATTGAGCCCGCTCTCTTGATGTCACCGCTTTCCAAGAAGAAACATCATAGCACGCTAATGACACTATCAATTGATGTGTATCCTTCTCATGTCAGAAACTTTGAACAGCTGCCTAAAGTTTTTTTTATTCCAAGATATAATCACAAGACGTGGTAACGGCACACTCAAGTTTTTTCAACTTATATTAATGCCGCCACCAACATAGGGGACAATACAATACTCATTTTCACCTGAGCGAAGTGAGGAAAGTTGTGTTAAGTGCCTTTCCCATGGGCACAATTTGGCATGTTAGGACTCGAACCCAGGACCTCTTGGTTCCGAGTCGAGCACCCTGCCGCTACGCCACACGACCGCACATAGCTGCCAAAGTTGTACCCACCTGTTGATCGAGGGTACTCTGTATCTGTTACAGGCAGTAAGAGTATCCTGATGAGCCTTCTCTCACCGAGCGATGACATCGGGCAAACCTGTAGCTACAGAGGTCCTGACCCAGACAAAGTACAGGTAGGAAAATCCATTTTGTATAGTATCGGTAAAAACTGAGTAATAGTTGTTGGATTGGCTTGTCTTGTCTTCTGTCTGTTTGTTTGTTTTTTCAGAAAAAAAATCCGAACTGCAGCTCTATAAATAACATGCCCTAAAGTACCTGCACTGTACAGTACAGATCTCGGGATAAGCATCAAGTCCCGCGGGAGATCCCGCGGGAGTTTGCGGGATATCACGCGGGAGTTTGCGGGATCTTCCGCGGGAGTTTGCGGGATCTCCTGCGGGAGTTTGCGGGATCTCCTGCGGGATTTATCGGGATATCCCGCGGTACGAAATCCTCTCCCGCAACCCCGATCTTCGGTGTGAGACCTTAGGTTTCCGAAGGGCCGGCGCCGCTGTTACTTGAAGTTGAACCGCGTTGACTACAGATTTTTAGTAATTTTACGCAGACGATGCGTCCATGTTTTAGTATGTTTTCAATGCATGCAAATAACAGTAGAGCAAATAGTATTTTTAACCAAACATTTCTTTTTTTTTTTAATATCGGAAATCTGGTGGCTTAATAAGGTACAGAACGATAACAAAGTAATACAACCTTCTTGAACAAGTTTTGTGTCCGGCCTTGCGACGTGGACGGCTTTATTTGATGTCACCGGTGCACCCGACCTGCGCTATTTCAGATATAATTTTTTAAAAAAATCTAACGCATCGACGTGCCAAATCGCCACTCGAGTTCTTTATTTTCTCCTAGATAGGGGAGGTTGACGTATGGAGTTACGGAAGAGAGATTAAACATTGTGTAAAACAAGGGGGCGAAGCATAATTCAAGAGTTCTTTACGCCTCAAACTTTGATACATTTCGTGCGCCACGCAGTGTTCAGGGCCTGCATGGGGGTTACTGATTACGAATTACGCAAAATTTTCGCTATAAAGTTAAGTTTCATAGCTGATTATGACTTTTACGCTTTGCGGCTAATGTACTGATTACGAATTACGTTGATTTTTGGAAGGTTGCCTTCGGTTTACGAAGACAATGATAAAAAAACGACCTGATTACGCCTTACGAAAAAGGGCATGCAGACCCCCAGTGTTGGGCCGGGCGTTCCCACGCCGCGTCGCCATAGAAACCGCACGTCGCCAGCAGCGGCAGCGGCGCTGGCAGACTCCCCGGCGCCGA